TCTGATGAAAGCCGGTCAGGAAGCGGACAGACAGGACAGTCCTTTGACATCTTGTTGAGTTCCTTGAGACCCAGTGCTTATAAGCCACACTCAGAACCAGGCTTCCGATACCCCGCCCCCGATGGCAGGTCTGATACCCCGCCCCCGATGGCAGGTCTGATACCCCCGCCCCTGATGGCAGGGCTGGGTTTGCTGACGGCGCACTCTGAGCCTTACTCTCCTCTTGCAGCCGGAGAGGACTTCACCTCCGTCGTCTCGGAAATCATGATGTACATCCTCCTGGTCTTCCTCACCTTGTGGCTGCTCATTGAGATGATCTACTGCTACCGGAAGGTCTCCAAGGCTGAAGAGGCCGCCCAGGAGAGCGCGTAAGCCCCGAGATGCCAGATAACGCTGGCGGCACCCGCGGAGTGCTCGCTCTCACGGTGAAATGCTGAGCAAGCGACCTGGTCTCCTGCTTTCTCACCGCGGCCGCTGAGGTGCCAGCATCAGTGCGCTCATTTCACAGATGAGAACACTGAGGCTGGGGAGTGTGCCCGGGGAAAGCAGGGCTGGGATTCAGGCCAGCTACCTCGGCCTGTGCTCTTCACCACTGATGTGAAGCTCACCAGCGGCCCCACAGTCCCAGGAATTAGCATCACTGTGACCATTGCACAGATGCTGGGAAGGCGCACAGAAGGTAAGCGGCCTGAGGGACCACACGGACAGCGGAGGAGAGCCTGGGCTTGGAGGGAGCCTCTCCGTTCCTAATGGCCAGGCTCCTTCCGTCACAGCTGTTTGCTGTCACTGTGGTGCTCATCAGGCGCTGGGCACGGCGTTCGCTCCAAGCACCATGCTCCTGCCCTACAGCAGGGGCGCGATTAGAACCCGAGCGAGGCCCTCTTCTCCAAGGGCAGCCTAGCCCTGGGCCATGCTTGCCGCGGCCCAGCCACCGAGGGGTGAGCACGAGTGAGAAGTGCTGGGGCCGAAGGGCGAAGAGGCCGTGCTGGCCTGTTATCGGGGCTGGCAACACTGCTGAGGCAGTCACCTAACACCCCAGGCCGCTGCCACCTGGAAATGTGCACTAACATAAAGCATGATTTGCATGATAGCTATGACCTTAATGGAGAAAAAGATGACAGCTGACCAGATGTGGGATGGACAGAATGGCCGTGCTGGGAGGCCGACGGGCCTGGTGACTTAGGGGCGTGGATCAGTGCCTACGCCTGGACGGGAGTTCCCTGCGTGGGCAGGAGTGCCCACCGTGAGGCCCCGGGCTGGGACCCGCAGGGAGCCAGAGCTACACAAACGGCAGGTCCGACAACCATCCGGCCACAGCCCAGGGAAAAGCCCAGGAAACGCATTCATCCTGGCTGACTCCAAGTAGGAGACAGAAAAGATTCTTGAGAATGAGTAGCCACAAGCCTGCGCTCACAATGGATGGGACTCACATTCATACCACCCACATGGTCCCGGAAGCGCCAAGCTGAGAAAGTCCATAATTAACAGCAACGAAAAGCACCCCAGCCGGCGATACCCAGGCCGAAGCACGTGCAGACCTTTCGAAGGGAGCACCTCTGCATCCGGATTCCCCGGATAAGGCAACGCTCATGAAGGAACTTCAGACACAGGAAGGACCTAGTAGAATATAGGAAATAGCTTTGTTTAAAAGAGTTGAAGCAATGAAAGGAGGAACCCAAAGCATAAGAATAAAGTAAGTTGCTAAGGACAAAGAACAGGCAGATTTGAAGAGGAATTTTAAAAGGTGGAAATGAAAAACACGGTCAGAGGTGCCAGGTGGCGTGTGGAGGAGGCAGCATAGGAGAACACAGAGCTCGCCCTCCCACGAGCAAACCAAGATACACACACTTACAGAGAGACACCCGAGGGCTGAATGCACGGCTTCTGAACAGCAACCGAGAGCAAGAGGCCAGGAGAGGAGGCTGGGAGACCGCGGGAGGCAGAGGAGCCGCGTGAGCGCCACTGTTTACACTGCCCTCCGCTTCCTTCGGGTGGCAGCGCATGGGTGCTGTGGTCAGCCTGCGAGGTCACCTGCCTCTGGGCGGAGGGAGCAGCAGGAACTACCAGGCTTCCCACAGCACCTGCCTCCGCAGGGAGCTGCCCCAGCTCAGCTCCGGGCAGCTGCAGCCCTGCCTGGCCCCAGCTGGCTTCCCAAACGTCGGGCACAGCAAGCCTAGAGAGAGGTGGCTTCTACACAGAACCGCCTTCTGTACAACAAACACGGGAGAGGCTGCACAGAGCAGGCTGGGGGCTGTGGGGGTTCAGGTCAGAGGTGCCTGTGAGCACGATGGCTCACCACCCCGCCCCCTCTACCTAGTGGGCGAGGGCGCTGTCCAGGTCTGGCCTGCCTATTGGACCAAGTAGCTATGACAGGCCTTCCTACACGCACTGGGCTCCGCACCGAGAGCCACCCCGGCTCGGCAGACCAGTGTCCCGGATGCTTCACGCACCCGATTGGCTCCTACTTGCCCGGCAAAACCACCTGCACACACAGCCTGACCAGAGGCCGATTTCTCTGTAAGCTGGCTTTTCAAGACGGGGAGAGAGAGCGATGTTGTCTAATTCTTATAAACAAACATAGAAAGTCAAACAAAATGAAAAGACAGAAGAATACCGCATCTCTCAAATGAAGGAACAAGAAACATTCCCAGAAAGAAACCCTAAGGAAGCAGAGACGAGTCCTTTGTCTGACAAAGAATTCAAAGAAAGCTGACAGTGGACTAGAAGAACCGAGGGGGAACTTCAACCAGGAGTTAGAAAGTATAATGAAGATCCAAGCAGAGCTGGATGGGAGAAGATGCTCACCAGTGACACATCCAATAAGGAATTAATGTCTAAAATACAGACATAAAGAACTCAGACAACCTAACACCAATAAAAGAAACAATTCAATTAAAAAATGAACAGAGGACATGGATAGACACTTCTCCAAAGAGCGTCATTCATATGAAAAGACGCTCAATGCCACTAATCAGCAGAGAGATGCACATTAAAATCACAGTGACACATCACCTCACACCTGTCAGAGTAGCTACCAATAATTCAACAAATAACAAGTGCTGGTGAGGATGTGGAGAAGGGGGAACCCTTGTGTACTGCTGGGATGGTAGAGTATTGCAGCCACAATAGAGATTCTTCAAAAAGTTAAAACTTAGACGGAGAGCAGTGCTTCGGGAAGACTTATTTTTGAGTGACGAGAACCCAGCTGTGGCCCTGTGTGTCATGCTCCTGTCATACACTCGGTGCCAACGTGGGTGAGCACTTTGCTTAGCGTGCTGCTTCTCTAAGTGAAGTTGGAACCCAGTAATGTGTGGGTTCTGTAACTAAGACCTTTACTTTCATGTGTAGGAAAAAGGCCCATTACTGTTATGGTATGTGGTAATCTATTGGGGAAATGATTTTTTTCCATTGCCCACTACTGCTTTGTTTCATCAAAATAAAATAAGTTGTTTTAAAAAAAATTAAAAGTCAGAGGTGCCGTACAATCCAGCAATTCCACATCTGGGTATTTATCAAAAAAACAAAATACTGATTCTATAAGATATATGCCCCCTGTGTTCATTGCAGCATTACTAGTAATAGCCAAGATATGGAAGCAACCTAGATATCCATCAGTAGATGAATGGATAAAGAAGATGTGGTGTACATATGTACAATGAAATACTGTTCACCAATAAAAGGAATTAAATCTTGCCGTTTGTGACAACATGGGTGGACCTAGAGAGTATTATTTTAAGTGAAATAAATCAGACAATGAAGAAACAAAACAGAAAAGACCTATAGACACAGAGATACATAGATATATAGGTTGCCAAAGGGAAGGGTGGGGGGAATGGGAATAAGAAGCCTATATAATAAAAGCATAGTATGCAAATTGTCCCCTCAACCGGGAGTTTGACCAGGGGGTGGGGCCGGCCGGGGGAGAGGGAGGCCCCAGCCAGCAGCCAGCAGCCACTAGGGACCCTACCAGTATATGAATTTCGTGCACTGGGCCTCTAGTGAATATATAAAAGCCCTGGCTGGTTTGGCTCAGCGTTACAGCATCAGCCTGCAGACCGAAGGGTTGCAGGTTCCATTCCAGCCAAGGTAGGGGCTCATGTGGAGGCAACCAATCAATGTGTCTCTCTTTCTCTTCCCCTCCTCCCTCCCTTCTATTCTTTCTGGAAATCAATGGGAAAAATCCTCAGGTGAGGATTGAAACAAATAAATAAATGTAAAATAAATGGTGACAACATCAAATGCTGGCACAAAAAGAAAAGAAAATGTGAGGAGAGGAGAGAAGAGGGGAGAGAGAGAGAGAGAGAGAGAGGGAGGTTGAAGTTAGGTAAGGGTAAGTGACATCACCAAGGTCACTGTGAATGGCAGGGTCCATCTCCAGGTCAGGTTCTTCTGGCTCCACCTGGCCCCTCCAGGGGATTTAAAGCTACGGCATTTCCTGGGTAACATTAATCGATGGTGGTGACTCATTAGCATATGAAACCGTCAGACCTGGCCTTTCCCTGCCCTCCCTCTCTAAATCAAACCCAGCCCTGGAGCCTCTTCTAACCTGTTTCCTACTTCACCTGCTCTCACCTATCAAGCTACTTGGAATCCCCAACCTTTTAAAAAAGAAGCACTCATTTTGTTTAAATCACCTCAGAGGCCTCCTTTAAAAAAATTCTTTAATTACACTAAGTTCCCCGGAGATTGGGAGGGGGTGTCTCATTGCTCCCCCAGTGACTGCACAGTGATGCTCAGTAAGAGTTTGTATTGGGAGGATGGAGGGAAAGATGGGAGCCAGACGCTATGCAGCCTGGGAGCCAGGAGCGCGATGAGTTTTGTTTGTGAGTCTTCTCAGTAAAGCCCTGGACCTCATGGTGTGGCAAAAAGTACAAAAAGAAAAAGGGGAGGGGGGAAGAAAAACACAGTCAATACAATTTAAGACCCCATGGATTGGCACCTAATACTGGTAACCAGTAGATAGATATAACGATGTAACACGAATGGAGAATGGAAATATAATAAGATGAAACATCACAAAGAAACATGAAGAAAAAAAAAAAAGGGGGGGGGGGAGGAAAACACGGTCAATACAATTTAAGACCCCATGGATTGGCACCTCATACTGGTAACCAGAAGATAAATATAACAATGTTACACAGAATGGAGAATGGAGATATAATAAGATGAAATATCACAAAGAAACATGAAGAAAAAAAATGAGAAGATCCATTAAAACAGAAAAAAAGGAGAAGAAACAAAGGGAAAGATGGGAGCCAGACGCTATGCAGCCTGGGAGCCAGGAGCGCGATGAGTTTTGTTTGTGAGTCTTCTCAGTAAAGCCCTGGACCTCATGGTGTGGCAAAAAGTACAAAAAGAAAAAGGGGAGGGGGGAAGAAAAACACAGTCAATACAATTTAAGACCCCATGGATTGGCACCTAATACTGGTAACCAGTAGATAGATATAACGATGTAACACGAATGGAGAATGGAAATATAATAAGATGAAACATCACAAAGAAACATGAAGAAAAAAATGAGAAGATCCATTAAAACAGAAAAAAAGGAGAAGAAACAATGAAACCAGTTGGTTGACAAAATTACTGAAAGATTTGAGAAAAGGCATAAATGGAGAATTCAGATACAGTGGCTAAGGAAGGCAGGACTCTTCAGATTTAGGAAGCACAATATATTCTGAGCAGGATAAATCCATGTAAATCTACACCCACAGAGCAAGCATCTCTAAACTGATCAATGGCAGCTACTTTTTTAAATTTTTTTTTTATTTTTATTTTTTTTCATCACCAGTTCATTCTGTAAATCAGATTATTTATTCACTTGATTCTTAGATTCACTTGTTGATAGATGCATGTTTGTTGTTCACAATTTGTATCTTTACCTTTTTCTTCTTCCTCTTCTTAAAGGATACCTTTCAGCATTTCGTATAATACTGGTTTAGTGGTGATGAACTCCTTTAGCTTTTCCTTATCTGTGAAGCTCTTTATCTGACCTTCAATTCTGAATGATAGCTTTGCTGGATAAAGTAATCTTGGTTGTAGGTTCTTGGTATTCATCACTTTGAATATTTCTTGCCATTCCCTTCTGGCCTGCCAAGTTTCTGTTGAGAAATCAGCTGACAGTCGTATGGGTATTCCCTTGTAGGTAATTGAGTCTCTTTCTCTTGCTGCTTTTAAGATTCTCTCTTTGTCTTTTGCTCTTGGCATTTTAATTATGATGTGTCTTGGTGTGGTCCTCTTTGGATTCCTTTTGTTTGGGGTTCTCTGCGCTTCTTGGACCTGTAAGTCCATTTCTTTCACCAGGTGGGGGAAGTTTTCTGCCATTATTTCTTCAAATAGGTTTTCAATATCTTGCTGTCTCTCATCTTCTGGCACCCCTATTATTCTGATGTTGGTACGCTTGAAGCTGTCCCAGAGGCTCCTTACACTATCTTCGTATTTTCGGATTCTTTTTTCATTTTGCTTTTCCGGTTGGGTGTTTTTTGCTTCTTCGCATTTCAAATCTTTGACTTGATTCTTGCGCTCCTCTGGTCTGCTATTGGGTGTCTGTATAATATTCTTTATTTCAGTCCGTGTATGCTTAATTTCTAGTTGGTTCTTTATCATAGCATCGAGGGTCTCATTAGTTTTCGTGACTCTCTCCTCAAGTTTATTGACAGCTTCTAGCACATTTTTGCAAGCCCTCAAAATTGCGATTTTTAGCTCTATATCCTCCATTTCTGTCATGTTTTTTTGTCTCCGCATTTTTTATGCTTTCTTGGTGCACCCCCTAGTGGTCTTTGTGCGCAGTCTTGTTCTAGTTGAGCCTTGATTGTTGTAGTTAATACTAGAGGGATTTGACCACCAGGCCGACTGGCTGTGTGAATCAGCTGTGTCTGCCGCGGAAAACTTCTGTCCTCTGGGGAGGTGCTAATCTAGCCTTTGCCTGAGGCGATCCGGCAAATGGCTCTGCGCAGGGCTTGGGCGGGGCGGGCTCAACAGGGCGGGCGGAGGGAGCCGTTATGGTGCCCTCAGTCCTGTTCCCAGAGGCTCTGCTTCTCAGAACCCCCGGAACCGCTGCAAACCTCGGAGGGAAAGCTGCCTTCCAACTGATGCCAGACACTCCCGCTTCTCCCGTTTGGGTCCGAGTCCCCAGCGATTCGCCCGTATCTGGAGCTCAGAGTCTGAGACTCCCCCCTGACCGAAAACGACAACCGCGCTCTCAGCCACCAGCCCGCTTTGCGCGCGCACCTCCGCACCTGAGTTTTTTCCACACTGCGCCTCCTCTGAGCCTCGGTGTGCTGTTATTTTTCCTTCTAGTTGAAGAGTCTCTCCTCAGCCAGCCTTCCTGTGGTTCTGGGTGATGTCCGTTCCGTCTTTTAGTTGTATTTTTGAAGTGGTTGTTTGCAGTAGCAGTCTCCGGTGTTTACCTATGCCGCCATCTTGCTCGGACCGGTCAATGGCAGCTACTAAGATAACCTACAGCAAATGTCACCTGGGGGTCCCAACTTGAGAAGAATTATCTATAATATTAAAAGCATGTCAAGGATACTACCTCTCCCTGCTTCTCTTCAGTATTATATTGGAGATCCTAGATAGTGGACTAAGCAAATGCAAAGAAAAAAGAGTAAGACTTGGAAAGAAACAAACTAAATTATAATTTTTCATACCCACTATGATTACCTGCATAGAAAATCTAAGGGAATCTAGAGGGAGCAAACTATAGAACTAATAAGAACATTCCACAGGTTTGTTGAATGCAAAGAAAAAAGAGTAAGACTTGGAAAGAAACAAGCTAAACTATAATTTTTCATACCCACTATGATAACCTGCATAGAAAATCTAAGGAAATCTAGAGTGAATAAACTATTATAACTAATAAGAACATTCCACAGGTTTGTTAACATAAATAAAAATATAAAAATACAGAAATCACTATATTCCAGCCACTAAAATTTAGAAAAGCATTGAAATATTTTCAACTATAATAGCAACAAATACTCTCCGGTACCCAGAAATAAATTTGATAAAAATGTACAAGATCTTTAAGGACAAAATTACAAAACTACTGAAAGACTTAAGAAAGACGTAGCTGGAGAATAAAACCGTACTGTGACAAACATGGAAGTTCTCTCCAAAAGTAATCTGCAAATTTAATTACATTCCAATCAAAATATTTATTGGATTGTTCAAGGAACTCGATAAAGCTGATCTTAAAAGTCACATGGGAGGACCCAAACCAGCTAAACCAAAGGACGGCTGAGCGTAAATATTTTAGGCTTTGCAGGCTACACAGGGTCTCTCCGAATAGTGTTTTTTTTTTGTTTTTTTTTGTTTCTTTGCTTGCAACCCTTTAAACAAGTAACAACCTTTCTAGCCCCTGGGCCATAGTTTGCTGATTTCAAAGAAAGAACGGTAAGTTTGGGTGGTGGCTGGTAGGACTTTTGCTGCCAGATGTGAGGCTTGTTTAGAACGCTGTCAGAGCAGAGCCTGTGATACTGACATGGCACCCACATGGACAAGCGAACAAAGGAGAGCCCCGATGCATCACTATGTATGTAAACCAGCATGTGGCAGAGGCAATGCAGTCACTGAAGGAGGAATGGGCCGTCCAGTCAGTGGATGGGAACAATTCCTTGTCCATATAGAGAAAAACAAAATAGATTCTCCATCTCTCACATTAACGAAAAATAAATTGTAAGTGGATTTAAAGACAACGTAAAATGCAAAACTTGAAAATTCTATTAAGGGCATTTAAGAAAATATCTTTATGCCCTCGCTAGTTTGGGTCAGTGGATAGAGCATCAGTCTGCGGACTGAAGGGTCCTGGGTTCAATTCTGATCAAGGGCACATGCTCAGGTTGTGGACTTGATCCTCAGTAGGGGGCGTGCAGGAGGCAGCCAATCAATGATTCTCTCTCATCATTGATGTTTCTATCTTTCTCTCCCTCTTCCTTCCTCTTTGAAGTCAATAAAAATATACAAAAAAAATAAATATCTTTATTACCTTGGAATAAAGAGGATTTCTTCAAACACAAAGGAAAATGATAACTGTGATTATATTATATTCAGAGGTGGGCAAAAGTAGGTTAATAATAATAAACAATACAATAATAATTAACAATACAAGAATGAACTCTGTTTTGCGCACTCACAATTGTAAGCCTACTTTTGCCCACTCCTGTATGTCAACATTACTTTTTCATTATAAGAATCCAAAAGCAAAGTTTAGAGATAAACAGACTGGAAGAAGATAATTTCAAGATATGAAATTGATGAGAAAAAGACAAGTATCTCAGAAGAAAAATGAGCAAAGCAAATGAACAAATTACAGAAGTAGAAACCAAAAGAGCCTGTAAACTTATGAAAAGACTGGAGGCCTGGTGCACTCGGTGGGGAGGTGGGGGGGTCCCTCAGCCTGGCCTGCGCCCTCTTGCAGACTGGGAGCCCTTGGGGGATGTC